TTCTAATGTTGATTGAAGTAACATTTTGAATAGAGAAAAATTAGTAAAAAAAATGTCACTTAATAACTTATTTTCATATTTCCTATAATTTAGGTTTACATTTTGGAGAGTTGTAGATAAACGAGATGATTCGATTAAATCATAAAAACAAGTTTAATGTCCTCCAAATATTATTTTGAATTTAAGTTTTGTCTTTTGATTTTTTTTATCTGAATAAATTAAAATCTAAAGTGAACTTGAGAGAAATTTTCAGTTGATAAAAAATAAGCGAAAGAGAGAATCTTTTTTTGAAGTATAAAATGTAATTCAAAGAAAAAAACAAAATTTTTGTATTTTGTGATGTTGAATAATTTAAGATTACAGTTGATCTGTTTTGTTCTCATACATAAATTCTCAGAAATTATTGATATTTTATTCAACATTATCGTTTGCATATTTACTATTTGGATGATTTATTCAGAGAATCTGATCCATCTGTCAGTAATAGTCGGTGATATCAATGTTGATAATAAACTTGATATTAATTATCTCAAACGAGGATATCTAAAAAATTCGTACTCATATTCTAAATATTACCATGAATACTTTTGCTTTTAAAACAGTATATACTTATTGTCAATGATCAACTAATATTATGAACATATGTTCTTCTAAATAAAATGTCATCTACGATAAAAGAATTGTCTTTGTTAATTTCGAAAGAAATTATTATTGCTATCATACGATGTATGTACGAATGAAATGAAGATTCACATACCTACACTAGTCCACACCTTATTTTTCCTAGCTGTAAGAACAATTAAATCTGATTTAAAATTTAAAAAATTACTGTCAACACTGTTCTCAAATATCATGTCATTTACATAAAATGAATTTCATTTTTCAAAAAGTAAATTCTATTAAACATAAATCATTTCATTATGTCTAATAGATTCTGTCAATGTCTATCATATAAAATAGCTCTATGAAAATTGATTCCAGAATATTGTAATAAAACAAAATAATCTTTATTGTTAAACAGAAGTTCAAATACTCATATATGCAATTTCTAAATCGTTATTCTTTTTGTATGTCTTTTAGCTTAAGCAACAGATTTTAATCTAATTTTTTTGTTTATTTTGAATCCATTTTACCGACGATAACCAAAAATGGACTAACAATCTAATAATCAACTATAATCGAATTTTCTTCGGTTTTTTTACATGGTACTAAATTGAACAAAATAAATGCCTATTTTATTACAAAATATTCAATCAATACTCATTTTCTCATATGAGATTGGTTAAACAAAAACCAAGAAAGAAAGAAAGTCCCGTCTTTAAATTCATTTACTCACTCACACATAGTCAATTGAAATAATAGGAAAATGCATCTTTGTTTTCATTGACGACATCAGTCAATTAGATAAAAGAAACGTACGCATATAAATAATCACATTTTGGAGTTACAACACACACAAATAGAAGTGAAAAACAATGGAACATTCAATGATTCAATTGGATGATTTACCTGATGAGATTCTTATGATGATTTTTAAAAACATGTGTCAAGTTGATGTCCTCTATTCTTTAATAGATGTTAATCAACGACTTAACACAATTGTACATGATCCAATTTTTACTACTCATTTGACTTTACTGGAACATTTCTCGGATGGCTCCATACATTCATTAACGGATACAATGCTTGATCAATTTTGTTTACAAATTTTACCCAAAATTAAGCATAAAATCAAATGCTTTGATCTTGAACCATTATCTATGGAACGTATCCTTCTTGCTACAAATTATCCTAGTTTATATGGACTTACTTTATATAATATTGACTTGCGTACATGTGACTATTACTTTTTTGGTAAGATATAGTATTTCAATGGTTGTAATTTAGAACAAATGAGAAGTATATAGAGACA